TTTTTTTTTAAAGACAGGGTCTCTCTATATAACTCTGGCTGTCCTGGATCTCACTATATAAACCAGGCTGGCTTCAAACTCACAGAGATCTGTCTGCCTCTGCTTTCCAAGTGCTGGGATTAAAGATGTGTGACGCCATGCTCGGCATCATCTATCCATCCATCCAGCCACCCACCCATCCTTCTTTCTTCTTTTTCTTTCTCAAAGATAGCATCACACCATATTTTCTTGGCTGTCCTGAAACATTCTATATTGACCAGGCTAGCCTCAGATTCAGAGATCCACCTGCCTCTGTTTCCCAAGGGCTGGGATTAAAGGTGTGCACTACCTGGCCTTTGGATTTCTTCTACCTGCTTTATGTTCCTTGAGTCATGTTGCTAAGAGCTCTAGCTTGGGACTCCTCACACTGCCCCTGACCTTGCATACCTAACTCTAGGTGTGGCATCATCTTGCTCTAGGTCTGATTCTGCAACCTTTCCACTGTCCACATTCTTATTCCTACCCACACACACAGCCTAGCCCACCATCAGAACGCTCTGAGCTCTAGGTCCAAACACCAGTGTCAGCCTCGTTCCTAACTTTCTATTTTTGCTCCATTTCTCCCTCTTTTCCTTTATGGTCAGTTTTTTTTTCTTTTGCTTTTTTATTCATCTATTTATTTTTACATCCCAGTCACAGCCTGTCCCCACATCCTCCCCTCCCAGATCCTCTCCCTCATTCCCCCTCCAGCCCCCCAATCTCCTCTTCTTCCGTCTCCAACCAGGAAAGAGCAGGTTTCCTATGAGTATCAATAAAATATGGCATATCAAGTCACAGTAAAGACTAAGCACCTCCCCATGTATTAAGGCTAGGCCAGGCAACCGAGTATGAGAAGTAGGGTCCCACAAGCCAGAAAAAGAGTCAGAGACAGTCCCTGTTCCTGCTGTGAGGAGTCCTATAAGAGGATCAAGCTACACAATTGTAACATATATGCAGAATGCCTAGGCCAGTCTCATTCAGGCTCCCTGGCTATAAGTTCAGTCTCTGCAAGCCCCTGTGAGCACATATGGTTAGTTTTTTAAGTATTTCTTTTTTATATTTATTTGGTTGGTTGGGTACAGGGGAGATATCTGACATGACCCAAGTGGAGGTCAGGGGTCAAGTTGCAAGTTTCAGTGCTCTCTCAGGGACTGAACTCAGATGGTCAGGCTTGGTGTCGGACACCCTTAACTGCAAAGTAAATCTGCCAGCCCTGTGTTTGTTTCCGTTTTGTTTGGAGTTTTTTGTTTGTTTTGAGACAGGGTCTCTCCTATCTGTCCTGGAACTCCTATATAGACCAGGCTGGCTTTGAACTCACAGAGCTCCATCTGCCTCTCTGACTCCATAGCCCTGGGATTAAAGGTGTATGCCACCATGTCTGACTTGTATCAGTGTTTTAATGTGCTGGCGCAAGTCTTCTCTGAATGAGGTGGAGCACAAAGCAAATTAGGAAGAGTGGAAGCTTACTTGGCTATGACAGGAATGGAGAGGGTTTCAGCGATGGCTCTTATAACTTCACAGCTGACAGGGTGCTGAGGCCGTTCCTCCCGATTCCTTAAAGATGAAGAAAAGAGATGAGGCCTGGGGGGCTGAGAGCCAAAAGCAATAACATTCCTAAAATCCTACTGTCCTTCCTACTGAGCCTCAAGCAGATCAGATAGCTATGTGGTTATCTAGGACAAGTTGCTGGGAATGGCCTCCCTGACCTAGGGGAAGAGCTCTGTCCTAAGGGGCAGGAGAGTGAGAAGGTTAAGGCTAGTTCTCAGGAGCCTGAAGATGGGGCATAGCCACAGAGGACCAATGCGGGTGGCCTGGTTCCCAAGGTCACACTGCTTTTCCCTGGCTTCCCCTTGCCTCTGCCAGAAATAAGAGACAGTGTCACAAAAATGCTGTCCCTACAGTCTCAGCCCTGCCCTTCCCAAGGGACCTGGAACAGCTGCCACTGCTCAGACTGGCCACTCCCACACAGCTGCCTGTGCTGAGGCCAAGCTGCACAGCTGATCTTTGGGAGAAGCACCTGACATGGAGTAGGCCCTGTTCCAGGGGCCACCAGGGCAGACCACAGACCATGACAGTCACGATAAGCCACTGGGGAAGCAGGACACAACCCAGGGCTCCTTCCTACCAAGGTCAACTGCAAAAACAGTTCTTGTGCATGAGTAAGCACATCTTAGGTATGCTACAGCCATGCCTGGCCCAAGCTATGTGTGAGGACAAGCAGGAGAGGAGACTAACCAGTTCTTGCTTGCACGTAGCTCCTGGGCTATATTCTGGTTTCTCAGAAGAGCCTGCCAAGCCAGCCTCCACCTCTGATTCCTTACATCCCCCAGCAGCCAATTTATACCACACTAAACAGCTGTATCTGCTGAGTTTCTGCTGGTCAGGAAGTTCTTCCTTAAACTCTCCCAAATCTGTCTCCTAATTGCCTCCAACTTCTGAGAAAAGTAAGTTTTCTTAATATTGCTTGCAAGGCAATATAGTCACAATCCCATAAAAGCTTCAAAATAACTATGAAGCAGAAATTGTACTAACTGACAAATGGGGAATGTGATAATTAGAGAGGTTAAATGGTTTCCTAAGGATACATAGGTAGCCAACTGCAGAGCTGGGATTTAAAATCAAGCAATTGAGTCTAGAGCCCACTGCCTCAGCAAGGAATCCAGTACGTGTGTCTATATGCAGGTGTCACTTCCAAGCCCTCCTAGCTTCAAGCCTTACAGCTCCACTTTACTGTTCTGTGTGCAGTTGTTCAGGGTGTACCCCAAAATTTAGTGACAGGGATAACCAGCAATCTGGGCTGTTCCTATGAGCCCCTGAGTTCCCCTACAAAAAGGATGTCAGCGAAAGTCTATTTATCAGGATTACACACAAAAAGACATGCTAGGCACAGGGAGCACGTTCAACAGGGAGGTAGAGAGCAGCCTTCAGAAACACTTCGGCTGAGCAGGCCCTAGTGCTCATGCCTACAATCCCAGCACTTGGAAAACTGAGACAAAACGGAGACAAGACTTCAAGGTCAGCCTAGCCCAGTCAGAGCAACAGTGAGAATGCCCCTCTCCCATATTTATGTGCATTTGTGTGTGTGTGTGTGTGTGTGCGCGCGCGCGCGCGCGCACAGTGTATAGAGATGGCCCAGCAGTTAACAGTGCATACTACTCTTATGGAGGACACAAGTTCAGTCCCCAGCACCCACATCAAGCAGCTCACAACCTCCTGGAACTCCAGCTCCAGGGGATCCAACACTTTTTTCTGGACTCTGCAAGCACCTGCACTGAGACACACAGACACCACACATATACACAATTAAAAATAAAATAAATCTTTTAAAAAGGGAAAAAAAAGACTCAGTTCCCAATAGAGAACACATGAGCTACAGACACAAGAACTGTTTAGCAGACATTGGGACAGCTGGCAGTCCAGCAAGGGCAGGCAAGGAAGCCAGGGCCTTCAAATGAACAGCCGCTGTGTGGGGTCATTCAAGGGAGAAGCCGGTGCTCAGTGAAGTGGAAAGGAAAAAAGATTTAGTGGGTGTGGTGGCTCATGTCCGTAATCCCAGCCTTGGGAGGCTAACGCAGAGGATAGGGAGATCCACCAACCTAGGTTGTATAGTGAACTCTGTCTCAGAGAGAGGGGCTGGGGGAAGACTGATTATAGTGGTGAATACCTCTAATCCCAACACTTAGGAGATGGAGGAAAGGGGATCAGGGGTTCAAGGCCAGCCTCAGCTGTGAGTCAAGTCTAAAGGCAGTCTGGGCTTTAAGAGACTTTATAACAACAATCAAACCAAACCAAAACGGAAATGGACTGGGGATATTCCTCAGTGGCAAAGCACTCACCTAACATATACAAAACCCTGGATTTAATCCCCAGCACAAGAAAAAAAAGAAAGAGAGAGAGAGAGAGAGAGAGAGAGAGAGAGAGAGAGAGAGAGAGAGGCAGAGAGGCAGAGAGAGGGAGGGGGGAGAGAGAGAGGAGGAGGAGGAAAGGAAAGAGGGAGGGAGGGAGAGAGGGAGGGAAAGGAAGGGAAAATAAGATCAAAATTCCAATTCCACCATGTCCTGGCTATGTGATACAATTTTAAGCAAACTGCACTCCCTCTGCGCCTCCACACCTCTACCACTTACACACCCTGCAGGCAGGGCCCTTCCCCTTCCTCCTGTGTTTCTTTTCCTTTTTTCTTTTTTTTGGTTTTTCGAGACAGGGTTTCTCTGTGTAGCCCTGGCTGTCCTGGAACTCACTGACTGTGTAGCCCAGGCTGGCCTTGAACTCACAGAGATCCGCCTGCCTCTGCCTCCCGAGTGCTGGGATTAAACGTGTGCGCCACTATCGCCCGGCCCCTCTTGTGTTTCTAATGCTTGAAGTTGTGTCTACCGTCAGAAGGTAATCAATGAACGAATAAATGCAAGCCCATGAGCGTTTCAATGTTCTCTGGATTCACAGGCTATCAGGGAGCTAGGCAGAGGTAAGCTAAATACACAGAGAAGTGTTTGTCACATAGGGTCTGTTGAGGAATCTCCCTGCCAATCACTAAGAAGGCAACACTCACCTCCCATGAACTGCAATGGCTGAAATGCCAGTCCTCTCTATTCGCTTCACAAGGTTCAGGGTATCTTCTAGCTGGGTAAGAGAGATTATAGCACAAGGTGGTCATTAAGACTCAAGGAAGGAGCTGCTGACTCCTAAGATCTAACATTATCCAAGAGAATAACCTTCAAATAACATATCCTTACCGAGGGCAGGATTCGGATTTTACAAGTCACAGGTCTGTGTGTTCCTTTAACGAGAGTGCTGAGGATCTGCAAAGAGGAGTAGACAGGCACATCCATCTCTTCTGGAACAAATCACCACACTGCTTACACTAGTTAACACACCTACAAGACCATGATTACCAGTAGACGGACAATTGGTATAACCAGTAGACGGACAATTGGTATAACCAGTAGACGGACAATTGGTATATGCATGACTACTTGCATTTATCTGTTGAATGTATTTACATGTAAACACCATGGAGTGAGGATTCTGCCTCTATTCTATGCTAAAATCCCAACACTAGCAAGTCCCTGCCTAGTACATAAAGGTAAATATATACACACATTAAATACACTGAAGGAAGGAGTGAATGTATCTGCATGTAGTCCTGTGTGGAACAGTGACTCTTTGCTGGGAAAAATATCAGAATTACCTGGAGAGCTTGAGTAACACAAACTCTTAGATCCTACCACATTATTTCCTAAATGGGTCTCAAGGGACAGAGTTTAGAAACCTGTGCTTTCCCTTCATGGGACTGACCTAGGCACTCTGCATATATGTTCGAGTTATGTAGCTTGGTCCTCTTGTGGGAATCCTAACAATGGGAGCAGGGGCTGTCTCTGACTCTTTCACTGGCTTTTGGGATCCTACTCCTCATACTGGGTCACCTTACCCAACCTTAATACATGAGGAGGTGCTTAATCTTACTGCAACTTGATATGCCATGTTTTGTTGATATCAAGGGGAGACCTTCCCTTCCTGAACAGAAAGGGAGGAGGTGTGGATGGGGGAGTTGTGGGAAAGAACTGGGAAGAGAGATGGGGGGGGAACTATGGCCAGGATATAAAATAAATAAATAGAAATCTGTGCTTTCAAAATCATTGCCCAACACCCTCAATATAATCCTGAGGCTTAGTCCTGGTTATGAACACATGACTGACAGCTTTCTTCTCCTCCTCCTCTTCTTTTTTTTCCAAGACAGGGTAGGGTTTCTCTGTATAGTCCTGGATATCCTGGGACTCACTCTGAAGACCAGGCTGGCCTCAAACTCTGAGATCCACCTGACACTGAATCTGACTGCTGAGATTAAAGGCATGTACCACCACCCCTCGGTGACTGACAGTTTCTTTTCTGGGTAAAAGGAATATTCCAAGTGCTATCCCAGAACTATAGAATGAGAACAGGAAGATCTTTAAGGACCTTGGCTCTGTCCTCATGAATCCTTCTCTTTTGAAAAGTCAGATATACAAATATATGAACTAGAAAGGGAAAATACAACACGTTCAACGTATTTTAACTGCTTCTTATACAACAATTAGAAAAGATTGCAAAGAAAGATCAGTAAGTCACACAGTAGAGTAGTCAAGGAGGTAGCAACATGAAAATCAGAGATCAAGAGAGATATAAATAACAATGAATGTCTGTAGCACTGCTATCTTCTTTCTACATCAAAACTTTCAGGCCAGATACAAGGGAAGGAAGGTGATCTCAACCACACTCTCCCCAAAACCGGACTTCTAACCAACAGAGGTGCCCCTAGGCAGCAACTATCAGATAGGGGTGAGTACTTGCATTTATCTTGATTCTGGACAGATGGGGGCAGCAGAGAGCCAGTTATAGTGAACCCGGCCTTATCTAAGACCAGGGGAATGCCCTTAAGAAGAAGACATCAGGCCAAGAAACCCTGTTGAAAGGCAGACACTTCACCAGCAAGACCAGTAGGAAGGAAGGAACCCTCTCCAGGTGCTGCCTCAGACAGCAGACTAGACCTGATTTCCCACAGTCATCCTGGCGAGCAAGCCTTAAAGGGGTCTGCCAGGCTCACTCTAGCAAGGGCATGGTGGAGTACTTGGGAGGTAGAAGCAGGAGGAGCAAGAGTTCAAGGTCATTCTTGACTACGTAAGGCGTAGAAGGCCAGCCCAGACTATGTGAGACCCTTCTCAGAAACCACAAATCAACAAGCATCTCCAGAGGATTTCCTTGCAAGTGCTTACTTTGAACCCTTTGAAACGTGAGGACAAAAGAACAACTGGTCTGATACAGTATTCAGTCTCAGAGAACTTCCTTTTGATTCTAAGTAGTTCTAGGTACTTAAAATTTCTGTTCACATGCACATGAAAGACCAGGAAGGAAATTGGGCAAGAGAAAGACCTAGCCACTTGCAGGATCACACTAGGGAGAAATAAGTACCTCCTGCACCGCCCCCCCTTTTTTTTGTAGTTGAGACAGGGTGTCCTCTGTGTAATAGCTCTGGCTGTCCTGGAACTCACTCTGTAGACCAGGTTAGCCTCAAACTCATAAAGATCTGCTGCCTCTGCCACCCGAGTGCTGGGATTAAAGGTGTGCACCACCACCACTGCCCAGCTTCCTGAGGCTGTCTTTTTTTTTTTTTTTAATAATTTGTTTATTTTACTTTATTTGCATTGATGTTTGCCTGCATGTATGTCTGTATGAGGGTGTCAGATCTTGGAGGTAGAGACAGTTGTAAGCTGCCATGTGAGTGCTGGGAATTGAACCCAGGTCCTCTGGAAGAGCAGCCAGTGCTCTTAACCGCTGAGCCACCTCTCCAGTCCCCTGAGGCTGTCTTATCGCCAGGTGGTAGCATGAAATTCATGAAACTCTAAATCATGCCTCATGTCCCTGCCAGAGATGGGAAAGGACCAGAAACAAAAATCCAGTTCTGAGTAGGGAAACAGTACATCCACCCATGGCAGGCGGGTCTCACCGGACCCTCAAGCCAGGCTGGCATGTATAAGATGCCCTCTCTCTCAAAAGAAAAAAAAGAAAGAAAGAAAGAAAGAAAGAAAGAAAGAAAGAAAGAAAGAAAGAAAGAAAGAAAGAAAGAAAGAAAGAGAGGGAGGGAGGAAGGGAAGGCAGGAGAGAAGGAAGCAGGGGGGTGGGGAAAGGAGGAAAAAGAGATTTGCCAATGTAAGTTCTCTGCCCAACTTCTTGGTTTTGGAGATGGGTTTCACTATACATGCCAGACTGGCCTGGACTCCCTTACTTTGTGCAGGATGCCTTCAAACTCACAGTCCTTCGGCCTCTTGAGAACTGATTGGGACTCTAAGTGTCTGCTATCTTTCTTTTTTAGTTTTGCTTTGTTTTTTTTGTTGTTTTGTTTTGGTTTGGTTTTTTGAGACAATTATATAGCAAGACCCCATCTCAAAAAAGGGGTGGGGAGCAGGGTATGGGATGTGGCCTGTGGTATACTCTATCCATATGGGCCATATGCAGGGGACACCCTGTCACTCTCATCCAGCCCCCTAGGGGAGGCCTGTCCATCCATACACACAGACTTCTGAGCATGCCCTTACCCACAGTGACTTGCCCTTTGCTCTCAGATAATCCTGGAAGAGAAAGTGGTAACAGAGAGGAGGCCATACCTGAGTTCTCAGGCCCTTTGGCTCTCAGTGACAGACCTCAAGTGCACTGAAGGCAGACTGAGGGTTCCTAAATCTAGCTGCATGTCAAAATTACTTTGTAAAAATTTTCAGGCCATAGAGTTGTATCCATGCCAGTGGATGTCCACACGCTCCAGAAGAGAATTTGACATTGCTGCTGCCATTGTTGCTGTTAAGCAGTGGCGGCCACCACTGCTACTGTTTCTGGGATTACCATTTCATAATTGGTTACTACAGCTAGCACAGTGGAGACCCTGGCAGCAAAAGTAGCTACCACAGTTAGTTAATCTTCCATTCTATTGGGCACAATAAATTTAATTCAATAGTTATATACATTTTGATTGGCTTTGAAAATTATAAATTTATAAACTCAAGTTCCATTTGCTTTTGGGATATCATCTTACAAGGACTCCAATTTGCAATAAGGCTCATTAAGGAAGGGAATGGCTCAGGTGCCTTTAGCCTACCGGCTATGGGTGGGTTATAACTTCTGTTGGTCTTTTATATGTTGAACACACAGATTGCAAGCCCAGAGCCTCTTTGAGATCTTTGGCAGCAGTTTACTCTGCAGCTCACACACTTTGAGCCTGTATGATAATAAATATTCAGAGACCGGTAATGCCTGGGGGGCACTCACCATCCTAAGACAGAGCACCTATGTGGCCTGGGCAGGCATCTCCATGACAGGTAAGGTGACCTGCTGACGTCCCACACAACCTAAGTCAAAAGCTCATTTTTTAGTAAAAGGGGAACCTGCAGGGTCCTGGGCCCCTGTTTTGGGTAACTGTTGCCTTGCTTGCTGACCTTGACCTTGATATCCTCCCTATGCTAATTCCCTGCCAGGTTCCACCCTCCTGAATGCTTAAGGGAAGTTCCTTGTCTGGGTATCCTGCATAATGGGCATTAACAGCTTAGATGCAAGATTGTAAAACATCGGTAGCAAACCTCTGCCCTCTGGGGTTCTCCCATTGTGCTGTAAGCCTGTATTTAAAACCTCTCTCCTTCAATAAATGGCATTTGGCATTAAAAAAAAAAAAATTTCAGGCCAGGGCTAGAGAGGTTTCTCAGCAGTTAAGAGTACATCACATGGGCTGGAGAGATAGCTCAGAGGTTAAGAGCACTAGCTGCTCTTCCAGAAGACCCAGGTTCAATTCCCAACACCCGCATGTAGCTCACTATTGTGAGTAACTCCAGTACCAGTGGATCCAACACCCTCACACAGACATACATGCAGGCAAAACACCAATGCACATGAAATAAATAAATAATTTAAAAAAACAAAAAAGAGTGCATCACTCTATTGCAGAGGATCCCATCTATTAACTCCATCTCCAGGGGATCCAATCATCTTTTCGGGCACTACATGTACATAGTGCAGACATATATGCAGGCAAAACACCCATAACGCATAAAAATAAATAAATTAAAATTTTCCCCTCTGGGACCCAAATAGAGAATCTAGGTAGACTTCAGTCAATCTGGAACAGGAGAGACATTGTAGGTGATCTAAATCACAGAACGTTTGAGGACCCCACTGTCACTTACCTTCTCAATCTTGTCAGGGTCTGACAACAGAGCAGCTCCCATTCCTCCCTAGGAGAAGCACACAAGGTCTTACGATTGAAGGACAAGGTACCAACCACGGTAAGGCAACACAGTGTAGCAATAAGGTAGCCAAGGTCCACTGGAAACTGGCATTTTCCTAACCACAGAGGAAGGCAGCCTTGTCTGCACAACACAAATCCCATCAAGAACCAGAATGTGATGAATCTGAAAAACTACCACTCTGACCATTTTTTGCAAAACCATTTATCAATCTAGAAATGGGCACTAAATTTTTATTTTTTAGGACTTCACATCCCCATAGAGATCTCAGAGTCATAACAAACTGAACCCAACATCTACTGTATCCTTAAAATAAGGAGTCCACCTGAGCACAGTGGCACACATACTCAGGAGGCTGAGTCAGGAGGATCAAGAGTTTGAGGCCAGCCTCAGCTGCACAGTGGTGAGTTCAAAGCTAGCTTGTACTTCATAGATATATCCTGTGTCAAAACAAAAACAAAAGTCCAGCAAATGAAAACCGCCAACTCACAGAGCAACTTACAGTCCAACAATGACAGCGATGGCTCTCTCTCTCTTTTAAAACTTTTTAGCATTTATTTATTTTGTGTGTTTGTGTGTGTGTATACATGTGTGCAGATCAGAGGACAACTTGCAGGAGTCAGTTCTCCCCTTCCATGTGGATCCTGGGGTTTGAACTCAGGTCATCAGGTGCCAAGCATCCTTATCTAGTGAGTCATCATTCCTGCCAATGGTTGTTTCTTGACGATAGACTTTTTTACCAATACTTTTCCTGCTTTTTTTCATAACTATCTACCTATATTTCTGAAGTATTGGACAATATTATGAATTACTTTGTGTTTTGTTTTATTGACACAGAATCATGTTATATTACCTGGATAAGTTCAAGCTGGCTTTGAACTCATTGAAATCCTCCTGCTTCAGCCTGAGTGCTAAGATTACAGTTGTAAACCACATTATCTAGCTACTGTGAGCTATTTTAATAAATCATGGGTGGGGAATAGAGAAGGGATTTTTTGTTTGTTTGTTTTGTTTTGTTTTTCGAGACAGGGTTTCTCTGTGTAGTTTTGGTACCTGTCCTGGATCTCGCTCTGTAGACCAAGCTGGCCTCGAACTCAAAGAGATCTGCCTGGCTCTGCCTCCTGAGTGTTGGGATTAAAGGCATGCAACAACAACACCTGGCGGGATTTTTTTAATATGTATGTATCTGTGTATATATATGCCACATGTGCGGGCATGCCCTCAGAGTCTCTTAGAGTTGGAGTTACAAGTGGTTATGAGCTGCTTGACTTGTGTGCTGGGAATTGAAGCCAGGTCCTCTAGGAGAACAGCAAGCACTCTTAACTGCTAAGCCATCTCTAGCCCTAGAGGGAGAATCGCTATCAATTTAATATTATTTACTGTTACTGTATGTATGTATAGTGTGTGGGGAGGGGGTACATGCATGCCACAGTGCACGTGTGGAGGTCAGAGGACAACTTTTAGGGGTTGATTCTCTCCTTCCACAGTAGAATTCAGATATCGAATTCACATCCTCAGGCCTGTGTGGCAAGCACTTTTACCCAATGAGGCAGCTTGCTGACCCATAGGATCTGTAAAAGTCTGAATTCATTAAAAATAAAGTGAAAAAGCTGGAGATATAGCTCAGTTGGTAGAATTCTTGCTTAGCACACATGAAGACCTGGGTTAAATCCCTACACCTCATAAAACTGGATTTGGTAGCAACATCTGTAATCCCAGGATTTGGGGGTAAGACTGTTGACTCAGAAGTTCAAGGTCAACCTGTAAATTAGGCTAGCCTCCAACTCATTATCCTCCAGCCTTAGCCTTTACAAGTTCAGATTACGAGTATGTACCATCATACCTAGCCTAATAACATCCCTTTGAGGATTTTTCTCATCCAGCACAGGATCTAGCCAGCCCAGAGCCAGGTACTACCTTAGCTGTCATGTATAGTCTCTTTAATCTGCACAGTTATATAAAGAAATCATTTACCTTAGTAGAATATTCTTTTGGACAGCCCATGTTGACATCAATACCAGCTACATCATTTTCTCTGGAAAAACATGAAGGAGAAAAGGTAATAAATATTCTACTTGAGGGAAGAAAATAGATGAAAGATAAAGGGGTTCTGTGCTCCTGATCCTCCTGGGCCTCCTGGGCCTGTGAAATACTAATTCTCAACAACAAAAGCTGAAAATCAGAAGAGTCCATCCGCAAACTGTAACTGCCTCATCTGAGCAGAGTCCCAGAAGAAAGACATAAGGAATACATATCTATAAAGAGCTGGATGCAGAGGACTTTGCTACACTGAGGGTCGTTATCAGGTATTTGAAATATTGTCTGAACTCCATTCTAGGACTATCGTTTCACTGGGATACTGGAATCCATTTGTCAATGTAAAAAAAGTGGTATGAGCAGAGGCCATTGCCAGAGCACATCTTCTATAGAAGTTACTAAACTGAGCCGGGTATGGTGGCACACATATGCAATCCCAACACTCAGAGAGGGGAGGCAGGAAGATCAGTTTGCGGCAAACCTGGGCTACACAGGAGAGAAAACGAGGCAGAGGAAGCAGTGGTGCTGGTGGTAGTTGTAACAGACTGGCTTCATTTGCTGAGCGGCAGAACTGGCTGCTCCAAACAATTCTGTGTATAGAAGAGCTCCTCACATTATCCACTGGTTTATGAGAGTTTGTGATATGCAGCAGTTACGGCCTGAGTTCTTTCTTACCCTCACAGTCATTAGTCACAGAGCTAATGTGAAGCACTCAATATGTACCACATATTGCAAAGACATGACATGCATTATTTCATTTGTTGTTTCCTATAATGCCAGAGGTTGATAGATATCATTTTATAAATAAGAGAACAAAGTTCTCAATGGTAATAGGTAATTTACCTACATTCACACAGTTAGCAAAGAGCAGAGCCAGAATTCCAACTGAGCTCTGCTTTAACTCCAAAGGCCATCACTTCAACCATGCATTCTCCTGACTGTTAAATCAGGAAGGATAGATCTTATCTACATTTCATGAGGATTAAAGCTTCAGGAATCTCAGAAGAATCCCTAGAAAGGGAAACCCATGAATAAACACTAAAATGAGGGCTCAATAAAGAGGATCTCTAGGATATAACCATAGTGGGTATACAAGAGTCCCAGGCCAGCCTTCAGATAGCACAGGGAAAGAAACCCAATTCCCTTCACCTAAAAACAGAAAGTAAGGGGCTAGGAAGCAGAAGATGGGTTGCTAGTGATATTAAGGTCTCATAGCTTACAGAAGAGACAAGGCATTCCCAAGGAGGGAAGAACTTACACAAGCCTGGCCACAGCAAGGGCTCTCTCTGCGTCTGAAGTCCCCTGGGAACACAAGAAACTACATCAACCTGTCTTGACACAAGTGCACACATGTAGACAAACACACCTATTGGTATCTCACACACACACATACATGCATGCATGCATATGCCAGGAAATATAAGAGTCAGGCCCACTCAGGGTTGGAGAGATGACTCAGCAGTTAAAAGCACTGGTCACTCTTCCCAAGGATCTCATTTCAATTTCCAGCACCTACATGTCTATAATTCCAGCTCCAGGGGATCCAATGACCTCTGTAGGCACCAGGCACACACAGGGTGCACAGACATACATGCAGGCAAAACATCCATATACATAAAATAAAATGATAATAATAACTAAAAAAAAAAAGGGGGTCAGGCCAGTACACTAGACTTGCTCCCCAACAAAGGAAATAGATGAACTCAGAAGGACTAGACAACCTCATTAATGTCATGGTGACTTTCAAACAGGGGCTGAAGAGGGGACTCAGGAAATAAAATGCTTGCTGTGCAAGCGTGAGGTCAGAGTTGAGATCACCAGCACCCACATAAAAAACAGGCAGGGACCAGCAAGACGGCACGGAGGGTAAAGGCATTTGCTGCCAAGAATGTCAACTTGAGATCAAGCCCTGGGACACATAAGGCAGTCCTGCAAGTTGTCCCCTTACCTCCACATGTGCACTATGGCACACACGTACACGTGGACACACACACACACACACACACACACACACACACACACACAAATAATAAATAATGTAATCAAATTTTATTTTAAAAAAGTGGGCAGAAGTGGCAGCCCGTCTATAATCGCAGTGCTCATAAGGCAGAAACAAGAGGATCCCTGGAGCAGGCTGCCTGGCTAGACGAAGCAAATCTGCAAGCTCTGGGTTCAGCAAGAGACCTGCCTCAGTCAACAGAATGAAGAGCAATCATGGAAGATATCAAACATCAGCTTCACACACACACACACACACACACACACACACACACACACACACACCCCACATACCAAAATAGGGGGAAAATTTTATAGCACATATTCAGATACCCATCACTCAAATTCTACAATTAATATTTTGCCATGTATTTTGTCTATCCATTGTTACTAAATTTAGAAAATATCTAAATGTCATCCAGGAGCTATTCCTAAGTAAACACCAAGCTATGCCTAAAGAAAGAGAAAAAACCTAGCCAGGTGGTAGTGCATGCCTTTAATCCCAGCAGTTGGGCAGCAGAGGCAGGTGGATCTCTGAGGTCAAGGCCAGTCTGGTCTACAGAGTGAGTTCCAGGACAGCCAGGGCTACACAGAGAAACCCTGTCTTGAAAAACCCAAAAAAGATTAAAAAAAAAAAAAGGAAATAAGGAAAAAGAAAAAACAAAGCTATATTATATCTGTAACATAAATTTTAACTGATCTTTAGAAAACCTGAGATTTTTATATATTCTACATAAAAACAAACATTTTGGCCAGAATAATCAATCTTCAGGATTAAAAATAAATAAATACAGAAGTCATATCAATCAGATAATTCCTATAATTAACTAAGTTTGAGACTGGAGACATAGAACAGATTGCAACAGCTTGATTTCCAGTCTCCAACAGTGTACCTAATCATGAATGAATCTCTGAAAAACATTCAAACCAAATACATAGGCTGCCACCACTGTACAGTGTATTACAGGCATTCAACACTGGCAGGCAGAAGCAGGAAATACTAGAAAATAGGGACCCTCAGGATACTAGACACTGGAGTGGGAGGTGTCTCTTACCATTTGGAAAACTACCCTGTTCTGTTCTCTTTCACATGTTCGGAAAACTACTCGGTCATCAGGAGCAACAAAGTCCACTGTGCTGAGCACCTCTGCAAGAAAACACAAACCACCTAATTAAGATGCAAGTTCAACCTAGCCTAGGCCTTGGAAGCCACAGCAAAACTACAAACTGGAAAGGGGAAAGTAGATTCTAGATAGTCTTCTGTCTCTCTTTTCTTTAGTTATTTTTGGTTTTGGTTTTTTTGGTTGTTTTTTTTGCAACAGGGTTTCTCTTCTATCTCTTTTCTTTTCTTCTCTTATTTATTTATGGTTTTATGGTTTTGTTTTTGTTTTTTGAGACAGGGTTTCTCTGTGTAACAGCCTTGGCTGTTCTGGAACTTGCTTTGTAGGCCAGGGTGGCTTCAAACTCACATACATCTGCCTGTCTTTGCCTCCAAAGTACTGAGATTAAAGCTGTGTGCCACCATACCTGGCTTGATATACATTCTTAAAGGAAATAGATATGCACTTAGAAGCTTTGTGAGTTACTAGTGATGGTCTCTTTTCGGAGTGATGGTAGCTCAGATTACAATTATTTGATAAATGACATGTTTATAGTTAATGTTCTGCAATTTTTTTTTTTTTT